AAAATTTCGCATAGGGAGCCATATGGCGATAGAAGTATAGAGGAGCATAGAAGTATAGAAGTATAGATGGACTACCAACACTGATTTACGATGACTTTTTGACAATATTAATTCCTGTCGGAGGTACACGATGATCAAGTGACAACCTTTCAGCTATCCTGCTTTTTCTAGATTAGTTGGTTAAACGATAATTAATGAAAAGAGCTCAGAAGATATAAATGATGGAAATTACATTTATTTAACCATTTAACTAAAAAAAGAGCAAAAAATTACAATAATAAAAATATAACACAATTGTTGTGGGCTAACGGTGTTTTTCACGAATTTTCAATATAATTATATGAGTCGCAGGCAACAAAATAAAAATTCTGACGAATGTAGGAAATCTGTTGATATATAATCATAAGGCATCTGAATGATTTCGACGTGAGTTATCCAGATAATCATCGCTAAACATTTGTTTATTGGCTTGTCAGTTTCATATTTAACGCCAATTGTTGGCTTTATAGAATATTTATAGATACAATAAAATCTATTATCGGAACATTTAATGATATAATTAAAGTATCACGTGAAGTACTAAAATAATCATTTGAAATGCGTTTATCGAAAAAAGTGAACTGAATTTAATTTCGATATTGAATATTTTAGTGATAAAGAAATTAGATAATTTGCAAGAAAAGTACTTAGCGCTCAACATTTCTAATAAGGTTCCCTCTGCTGGCTGCTAACACGAAATTTTTGGCACTTGGCAATAGAAGGCACGACGCCAGTAACGCTCAGACTTTTTTCAGTGACAGGTTTACATTTGTCGGGAGTAAGAGCCGAACCTCTTCTCTCAATACATCCGCTCTGAGCCATTATCCACACTTGTCTCCTTTCAACACCAAATATTATGGATGGATAATTTAATATTGGATGGATTCTCGAAAACTGCATCAGATATAAAAATCCATAGCAAAATAAGAATGATTTGTGCAATTCGTTTTAGAAGCCAAATAAAAAGATGACTCTTTGGATGAAAGCTGTATGCCTTCCATGATTATCAAAAACCTTAAATAAAAAAAAAACTATAAAACAATATGTGCGTTAAATAAACGAAAACAGATTACGTAGTGCTCAAATCGTAGTACTCACGTTTTTCACGTTTTCTTGACCATTTATCATTAATAAATGCACTTCTCTTTATAAAAATATTTTTTGAAATTAAGCATCATTGAACGCTCTTCAAATTTAAAAATTTTTACAATTTTTGGTCACATTAATTTCATTTTATTTATTTTTTCATTTCTTGTTTCCTCATTTCCTTAGATATACGTTAAATATACGCTTAAATTTTTCTTCAACTATATAACCATTTTCTATTTAAATAAACTTTACATATACATTAATTTCTTCAAAAATTTTGCTTAAATTTTGTTTCACAACTGTTTTGTTTTTTGCTTACCTCAAATATGAGTCACTTAAGAAAATCCGAGGAAAACTGCTCGAGGAAAACTGGATTTGTACCTAAAACCAGAATCATTTTATTTTTTTCACAGTTTTGGGGAGTAATTATATTACTTGCGAGAATGCACCACTTTAATGCTTAATTAGGTAAAAAAAACGCTATTATTAAAATAATATTAATATTTAACATTTATTCTGGTAAAAAGGAATTAAAGGAAATTAAACTGATTTTCAATAAAATATTCTCAATTTCCAAAAAATTTTTATTGAATATTCGTTTCTTAACTCACCTACATTTTGTCCCGGATCCATAACAATATGGGCCACGTAGAAAATTGTTTCAAGAATAAGGCTTATTTATTATTTAATAAATTTTTAATTTCTTTATTTCCAAAGCCCTTATAATTTTTCTGATTATTTCCATTACTTTTTACGGTTAATCCATTTCAATTAAGCCAGAGAAAACGTGCACTTATAAGAAACCAGAATCTCAATGATATCTGCCACCCACAAATGATAAATGATCCCGACCGAAGTCATTATTCTTTTTCTTCTAACAGCAATTATTACTGGTTAGACTGGCTCCATTCGCAGCAAGGGTAAGACCAATCTGTGCGATCTAATGCCATCGTCGACAATAATAGAAGCTATTCCTTTTTCCACCGTCTAAGTCCATATATTGCTGGCTCCTACTTTTCAAAATCTTTTCTGACTCTATCAGTCCAGATCGTGAGTGGCCTACCTCACTTTTGACGTAACTTATCACAAGTAACAAAATATGTATGAACCTCCATGAAGAATGTATCCTAACCAGCGAAGGTGCTGTTAATGCAAATGGTTAACCTGAATGAAAGTAGATTTGATCATGTGAGATTTTATCCACTCGATGAACCCGTAAAATATACGTTAGAAGAATGTTCAAAGGCAGATAATTTCTTAATATCCTCCACTTTCATTGGCCATGTCTCGCAGCCATATAGAAAGACCTAACCAATTATATATGCGGATTTCCCGAAGTCATTATATAAGCATATAAAAAAATAAATCTGTTAAATTATAAACTGGATAACTGAACGCTTTTTGATAGGACGCTACACAAAAAATCAAAAACAATCCTAAACACTTCATTCTATTCCAATGAGCCAAAAAAATAATATCGATTTTATATTTGTTAAATTCTTATTTCATTTAAAAATCTCACTTACTTATAAAACTCATTTATTGAACATTACAAAACTTCAAATGTAAAATCAAACCGTTATATTCAAAAAATATGACCAAAAATAATCTGAATAAGATTCAGTAATAAAATTAACTATATTAGTGACAAAATAAAATAATATTCAAACCAATCAACGAACAATTGAATAAAGGCACGAAACGAAAAATGAATTGGCGCTGCAACATGCAACGATTTTCAAAAAAATCAAATTCTTATATGCCTTATTTGCTTCTTTTCGTTAATGATTTGGCTGAACTCAAAAAATAAACAAAAGAAAATTCAGAAAAAAATTAAGAAAATGACTGAAATGAAATGTTTTAATTCATTTCATTCATAACATAAAGTTAAAAAAATGATGCCAATGAAGCGAAAATATAAAAATGATCAACTATCATTTCAAATGTTCAAATTATTAATCATTATTGAACCTGTATTTTTAAAAATAGATAATAAATCGATTTTCGAAAACATTTTCTCAAAAGTATACCTTTAAAAAAAATTACAATCCCATAAAAACTTTATGTTTGGAAAACATCAAACCTTAAATAAATTTATAAGTAAATTTATTTTTTATTCTGAATACATAACAATATGAGTCACATGAAAGACTTATTCAAGAATATGAACAAACTGGAATATTTTGATAAAGAAACCTCTAACACAGCGAAAGATTCTGTTATGAAGGCAATTCAGCTATAAAATTTATATCATGAACATCAGATCGATTTGTCAGAAAAATGACAAAAAGATTAGATTTTTGCACATTTTTGCTGAGTGGATTTGTAAATGAATTGTTATCTATTCTTTGACACCTAATTACGAAATATATTGACTAATCAAAATGGAATAAAATAACCAGGAATAAAAAGAAAATAGGAAATAGCTAACATCCAAATGTTACCGATTTCGAATGTATACGGGCACCATGACTAACTCTATTTCTTCGCGAAAGTGTCTGGAACTTAGAAGAATCGTATTTTTTTGCACATCTTGGTGTTTGACGAAGTGGATCATATGCCTCACTCGTAAATTGCTTTTGACTAGCTGGAAAATAGAACTTCGTAATTTTAAAAAATTTAAGTAATCAATCAAATCAGAAAAATGAATTAACCACAGATGAAAGAATATTCCTTTGAATATAACGTACAATTAAACATTTCCGCGGAATATTGGTTATAATTAACGCTTATAGAACATGATTGTGGTGCATCAGTCCAGTGTTTTCGGCGAGATTTAGCAGGAGAGCGTTGGTCAATTCTCGTTTTTTTTTCATAGCAAGAACCAGAAATCGGTAGATCAACAAATGCTCTAGCCTAAAATATCATCAAAAATGTTTTAAAATAAAGATTTGGCATGGGATATATACTGTAAAAATATCAAAAATATCAAAAAAATGAAAGGAAGACAGGATGAGAAATGAACTAAACTTATGGCACTTCGAATGAATGAATTTAATTAATAAAAATGAAAAAAAATACAGGGTAAAACCACGCCAGTAAATAGAATTTTGTAATTTTGGAGTAATTTTGTAATTTTAACCAAAAATAATACTGAATAACGAATATCTAACGATCGACAATAGATAATGAAAATCCTGTAAATTTTTGCTTAATTAATAATGAAGGCAAATAGTTAAAACAATCTTACTCGTTTACGTCTTTTATTTAATGCATTCTTTGTTAAAGTTGCATCGTTATCTATCACAGCTTTTACTTCTGTCGTTTTACTATCACTTGAAATAACGAAATGATCAGATTCGTTCTATAATTTTTATCTTATAATTATAAAAAGCGAAATTAAATAAAATTTGTCGAAATGTTGCGAAATCATTGAACTTAATTTTGATTTAAATTAAATTTGCGAATTTCGGATAAATTACAAATAACTGAAATTTGTTAAATATGAAAAGAGAAAAAAAGAATGAATGACGAGATGTTAAGCGAATAATCTATGACATATGCAACAAATACTGAATAATACTGAATATTGAATTGATTCACTCAAAACGATAAAAATAAATTTGAATAAATATCTTATAAATCTTAATATTTTAATAATAATTAAGAATAATTTGCTATACCGTAACTTTTGGTAGTCCAAGAGGCTTCGTTGCAGGATCTAAATGGGACCATCGTTTCTTAATAACATCATTATCACAATTTCTCACATCACTCTTCTCTTTTTCTTCATCTTCATTTTCTTCCTAAAATATCACAAGCTGATCTAAAATAAAAATGTTTATGAATCGAACTTAAGAATCATTGTTCAAAAAAATATTTTTTCTGAAACAAAATGGAAAAATAGCTCAATAGGACTACTGTTCACATTTTCAACTATCAAAAATGATGAATGATGCAGAAAAAATTAAAATAATAAAGCTTACTATATTCTTCAAATCCTCCTTTAAAGAAAGTAAATAACTTTCGAATGGTGATGCCCATTCATCAAGTTTTTTATTAATCAAACACATAGTCACATTATCATAAGACGAAGGCATTCCAATTTCATGAATTTCACTTCCATTGAATTTTTGAACTCCAATAAATGTTTCAACATGTAAATATACCAGCTCATTCAAATTCTTTTCAATAATCGAGCCTATCTCTTCATCATATTTTACGCTAGTGAAATCTAGTGGACATCTGTAAAATCTGATTTTAAAGCGTTGACAAAAATAATAAAAAAGAATTTAATAAAAAATAAACATACCCTAAGAGAGCTTTCAATTTGGTCATCTTATTGAGATTAGACATAAATTTCTCGAAAGTAACTGATATGTAATTTGAGACATCGTATGTTTCCTCCTTTTTCAGAGGTAGATCGCGGGCTGCACTAATTATTCGATGAACAGTATGAAGTTCTTGCTTTAGAAGTTTTGGTATAGGACTACAGCAAGCTAGAATACCCTGTTGTTCTCGAGGCAATATCTAAAAATTAAGGCGGAAAAAATGTATAATAAATAATAATAAAAAATAAATAAAAGATTATGGATATAGTACAACAGTATTAATATTAAAATATTTTCAAAAAACCTCAGCGATTTGAAGCAACATATGATTTGGCAAAATATAATGATGACTTTCATCTTCCAATCTTGCAAGTGTATCCCGCCATTGCCACAAAGCACTCAGAGCATAACGTTGTTTATTGTTAATAGATTTCCGACCTTGAAGTAATTTTTCGAAGCCAGTACGTTGAAATTTTGGCTTACTGTATGACTATGAAAATAAAATCATTAGTTAAAATAAAATAAAAAAGAAGATAAAAAAATATCCAATGAATGAAAATAAGAAAAAACAAGGCAAGTAACAAGTATCTATACAATATATTCCTTTCTCAACTTTCTTCTATTTCTTTTCCCTCTCTTTCTTAAACAAAATGCAACAAAAATAATAATTGACCAAAAGACATATGTTTTTAGAGTCCTCATAAGTCTTTTGCAAAATTCCAGGCATTTCGTGCTCCAAATTTATCAAGCTTTCACGCAAATAATCGTAACAGGATAGCAAATAATGTGTGTCTTTACGAGCATACTCTATATGTGCATCAGACAATGGCCTAAAAAATATAGCATAATGAAAGACAATAAACCAAATAAACCGAAGAAAAGATTTATTATTTGCTTAAAATAATAACCTCATAGTCCAATCAGATTTTTGCAACTGCTTATCGATATTAACATCGAAATGACTTTCAATGAGAAATTGGAGAGAAAATCGCGGATAATTTAAAGCTTTCATTGCAGAATGCGTATCAAACATATTCACAACGTAAATACCAAAATCTCGTTGTAACCATAAAACATCTAACTCTGGACCATGAAAAACCTGGAAATTTCTATCTCGAACATGATTACAATTTTTTTGAAGAATTCAGATACAAAAAAACAAAGTGAAAAATTATGTCTCAAAATTAGTTTCACAAAGTTAGTGAAAAACTTTAATCGAAAAAAATAAACGACGATTTAAAAATGAATCAAATGAAAACAAAACCTTAAGTATATTGGGATTCGTAAACGGCTCATTCAAAATCCAAACCTCGTTCCAAATTGGAAAAGGATCAATTATATAGTCATTTTTTCTCGTTGAGATTTGAATTAAACATGTCAATCCGAGAAAAGACCGATATGAATTATGCTGAAATAATTGAATTATGCTGAAATATATCATTTATATGACAGATTAGAACAAATAAAATTTCAAAATCAAAAAAATGAAAAATAAAATTTTAATCAACATCGAAATAAGTAAAGGCAATAAATATGAACGATATATAAAAGACGATACATATCCTATGTTATTATTACTGTAAAATATATATAAAATTTTAAAACCTCGAGATCAACAGCAAATTCTTCAACAGAACATAGAGTATCGCGCAGCGTTTCTAGCTTTTCTTTCGTATCAATGAGGATTAAATCTGTTTTTGAAAGTGCCAGCGGTTCTCGAATGACCCCACTTTTTAATTGCCGATCAGGAATCTGCATTAAAATAAGAGTTAATAAACCTATTTTCCGAATAATTTTAATATATATAATTCTAAAACCCATAGTTTATGAATGAACTGTTGTAATGAATTCCAATTTCGAAATTTAACTAAACCTGAATTTTAAAAAATGATTTCATTTCAAATTAAAAAATGTTTTCATTTCAAATAAAAAAATGACAAAAATCAAAAGAAAAAAACCTTTTATTACTGAATGAAGAGATTAAATGAAATTTAAAAATTACTTTCAAATGAGAAATTTCAAATTGATAAGGGTGACCGAAGGAATCTTGATCATAGATACCAAGAATTTCTGTATCTTCATCAATTACCCGCAAATTGGACGCCGTTAATGGAAGACTATTATGCTTAATTTTTAACTTTGGTACAAATACTGCATCATCATTATTCACTTTTATTCCGTAAACATTTTGTGGCTTAACTGTATTCTAAAAAAAATAAAATTACAATAACAATCAAAGTAACTATATATGAGGTCTCAGTGATTCAAATTTACCTTATTTAAGATTTATTTCCAAAAGAGAAATAAGTGATGAAAATATGTAAGAAATAGATTTTAAAAATATCAGATATACCACGAAATGTAAAATACCATGAAAAATCTATTCGAGTGATCTTTTGAAATAATAAAACAAACCCAATATTTAACGAAAAATAAAATTTACTATTCATTTCATTAAAAAATAATAAACATTTTCTTTAAAAAGATAAGGAATGGATAAATTACATACTGGAAATGTAATAGGTTGTTCCAGTTTGGAAATGAAAATATTCTGAGAAGCTCGCTGAGAAGCCCTGAGAAGCGATTGGTAGCATCTCTGAGGCAAATTCATTGTGTTATGAATAGTAGTTTCAACTTCAAATGACAAATGTGGAGTAGATATCGCATCCCGATCGGTTCGAGAAAGTGTATCCATCGCTATTCCCTAAATACCTTTGTTTATGATAAGTCATAAATAATAAATTACATTTAACAAATGATGACAAACCGCTCGTTCTAAAATCGAATCATTTGCTTCAACCAACTTATACATGAAATCGTCAATATCGAGTTCAGAATTATTCGGCAGACGAAATCCTGAACTTCTCAAAACTTTGCGTATGCTGAAAAAAACACTATTAAAATAAAATGATATTCATTAAACCAGAAGTAATTATAAATAAATCGGAAGTACACAAAAAAGTAAGGAAACACACTCAATATATCAAAAAACTGCTAGAAAACAAGAAAATAAAACTTACAGACTGAGAACTCTATTCTGTTGTTCAATCATAAAACGAGCGTAAAGTGGGAAAGAAGCATACAGTTCATAACCTTGCGAGCATTTCGGTAAATAGTTCGATTCTTTAATTGCAGCAACAACCAATTTCTGAACTTGCTGAAAATATTTTCAGTGTTTTAAAAATTTAAAAGAATTAGTAGTTTTTGGTGAACTGTCGTATAAAACATTGAAAAACAGTAATGGTAATAAAAATAAAGTACATAAAATAATAAATTTCATAATATTAAATTTTTTCGTCGATTATAAGACTCTAAATAGGATTTTATGCAAAGCAATTAAAATCAAAAGTGACTTTTACCTGTACGTAATTTTTGAGTCTTGAACTATTATCTTGTATATTACTATTGCTAGTTATTTGGTCCATATTTGATGAGAGATAACGCAGGTCTGTAAAAAACTTTCAAAATGTGTTTTTTAGTTCATGACATTATTCAAATATTTAAATATGTTATATTTTTTAAATATGTTTAAAATATTTTCTAAAAAAAATTACGATAATTTAAATATTTTCCGTCTTTTTTTTGCACAGTTTTGTTGAATAAATAAATCATAAATAACATATCGATGCCTTAAATTTAAACAGAAATTTCCAATAATGAATCTGTCGAAGAATTAAATTTATAATATAAAACTTTTTACCCCATTATTACGTTTTTGATACAATAGTTTTTGAAATAAGCAAAACTAATTACCCTAATTTGAAAGAAACTAATTACCCTACTTTGAAATTATGTTTAACATCCTCGAATTAACGTTAACGTTAAAGAAAATAATTAACGTTAACGAATTAATTAAATTGACGTCAATCTCCGAACATTACAGGTAACCAATGACTAATTAATTATTCACTAATATGATTCTTTAAGCTCAGAAGGTTAATTCCAGCATTTTTGCACCTCAAGTGATGTGTCAAAATCATTTAACAACGGAAAAACACGGCAGTGAATGACGATTGCCAGAATACGGGATGGTGACAGAAGAAACGAAATAAATAACTGAAGCGAAAAAGACAAAAATATGAAAAAATCTCGCCGTATCACACAATATGGAAATACCTAAAAATCCGCCGAATCAAGTAATATTAAGCTGAAAAAATGTTTTTACAACCAAGATAGTGAAATTTAACCTGTAACCTTTATCAAAAATAACTTGTTTGTTGGTTCTAATAGTTCCGTCAATTTTTCGTAGAAAATTAAAGCATTTTATGAGGCGTACCATACAAATTGAGAATAAATTGTATGGCTTAACTTTTATACAAAAGTTCACAGAAAGTGGAATAACAAATGTGCTGTTTACTAAAATTCATTCACATGACAAATAAGTTATCAGATCACAAAAATATATTTTTCGCCGCTCATCGACTCAACTAATTTTGCTTTACCTAAATTAAAGCGATAGGATGGCTCAGTGGGTTGCTGCTCAACTGGGAACGCCGATGCTGAGGTTCGATTCCTCGCAGGATACACATGCACAAAAATACGGGTTATGCTGGCGACTCACCTGTATTTCTATCTTCAAGGGACTCTCTGGCATGTTGCCCAATTGCGACAAGCCAGTGGACCGAATTTAACCAGTAATCGTGAGGACTCTTAAGAAAAACAAATGCGAGAGGCTAACCAATGAAAGCAAATTAACAAAGCAAATACACAACATTCACAAAACCAAATAAACACTGAAAACGAAATTTTAAATATGTGTTGAAAATTTACGACCCCTTTATGACAGAAAAGAAGCAACTGAGTACCTGAAACAACACCTACCATCACCCCCTCTACATATGAATATTATCACAGCTCACATTAATCAGAACATCATGTCAAGATCAAAATTCAATTTAAACAGCCCAAAACCACTCCACGTATGTACATCTGTCTTTGAACCAGTTGAATACCATAAAATCCCACAATATAATCGAAATATAGTCAAAAGCCAAAATAAAATATAAAATCCGAAAAAATAAATATTCGTAAGACAACCTAAACCAGATTAAAAATAACAATAATGTGCCTTCACACTCATTCTGTCTCAAAAAAGAGTAAAATCCGAGCCAAACAAGTCAGATGTTTTACTAATGATTTACTGCTTAATTTTATAATGAAAAGCTTTTTCTCAGTTAAAACTAAAATCTACCGCTTTAAAATAAATAAACACTGACTAAACAATTTTGTGAATTCTTATATAGATGCGACAAAAGAAAAAGTGAAATGCGTCTTTGTATTTTTTAATTATCTTCCATTTATTATTTTAGGCAGAAAAATTACTTAATTTGCTTCAACAATAAAAATTTTGGGAAACTAAGAGCTAAAAAAAGCAATGAGAAAACAGCAAAGGCTGAAAAAAATAATTCAAAATGCTCCAAAAAACTTCCTTTCAAATAAAAGAATAAATTCCTTGTGATAATATTAAAAAATAGGTTAATGGAACAATCTTCAATCAACAATTTGAATTCAGATCACCTTTTTTTAAAAAAAAATCACATGGTAAATAGAAACACAAAAAACCAAAATATGCATAGGAAATATTTAGACAACTTTTTTGACCGATGCATAATTTACATAAACAATTGCTCCAACAAAATTTAAAACACCAGCTAATATAAAAGCAGGCCACCAACGACCAGAAGAATCGATGACAAGCTTTGCTGTGAAGGGGCCTACGGTCAGACCAGGCAAGGTGGCCTAAAACCAAGCGAAATAAATCGATAAAGAAAAAAATATTTTCACAAATATTGGAAAATTCTTCTAGAGCTAATAACCAGAAATGATTTTCAACCTACGATGGTATTTGAAATAGCAAATGTTATTCCAGCATAATTCGGAGCAACATCGACATGATTACTGAGATGTCCCGCAGAATTGAAAGCCAATATGCCCATACTCAACGAAATAAGCCTGAAGAACTGAGTGGACAGAAAAATTAAAATAAAAGAATTCATTAATTAATTGCTCAAGATAGAAAAGAATTGTTAAAATTTATTAATTTTTAATTTTTAATTGAAATTAAAAACTAACAAAACTGCTAAGAACAAATTTCTAATGAAACCAAAGGCAATAACCAATAAAGCCGGCAAAGTTAATCCAATAACAGTTGAATAAATTCGGGCGTGCAAAAGAGATAATCGCTGACTATTTACAAGAAAATCCACTATATAACCAGCTGCTGAAAAAAAGAATTAAAAGGACTCCAAATTTTTCCATAATCAAATTCACCATAATCAAATTGATTAAGATATCAAAAAAAATATTTTTATAATCTTTTTATAACCTTTCTTTTCAACTGTTATTTTTTAAAGCAAGAGGAGTACATTCGAATATAGATGCGATGAATTAAACACTCGGAAAATAGAACGATAATAAGGTAAAAAAAACAGTGAAATGTCTCTTAGACAATAGCCTTTATATTTCACGTTTACCAATTAATAAAAAAAATAGACGAACCAATGGAAAAAATACTGTTGGCTAGATAAGGTAAAGCAGCAAGAGAAACACCAATGGAATCAGTACGCAACGTAGCGCGAAGATATGTTGGCAACCAATGCATTATCACATAAGTAGTCCAATTCATACAGAAATGAGCAAAATATATCGCTAAAAGTGGAGAAGAAAAAATAAATCGATCCCAACTTCTTAAAGGATTCTTCGTCTAAAACAGATAATTTATAAACAGGAAAAAGATAAGAAAACGAATGGTGAGCGGACACCTTATCGTCATCTTTTATATTTACCATATTACCACGATATTCTTTAAATTTTATATTTTTTCTGCATTTAATTTAATATATAAAATATTAAATCAATTTTACAATTTAGGGCTACCAGTGACTCACCAGTACCTATTCCCAAGTGAACCCATGGGTCGAGCAAATCAAAAACGGCCTTCTCGTATTCCTATGCACACAGCATCCTTAAACAGGTGGTACATGAGATAAATATATAAATCGGGTCGGGCTCGGATATTTAATATTATAATACTAAAAATAGCCGAGTAAAAGCTGAAGAAATCGCTCTAATACTTGAGAAAGTAGAACATATTAGTATGCACGCGGAAGTCTTGGCCGTAGTTGCATGGAAAATCGAAACGCTTATGGATGTAAAGAGTTGGACAATAAACTTCCACGCTTCATCCAAATATCGTGTGGATGTCACTTACCTAGTGGAAATACAATTTCCTAATTTTAAGTGATTTCAAAGCAGTGATTATATCTGACTAGGATAAGAACTATTGGCCATATCACAATGGTGTGCAATTTAGGAAAAAAAATATTACGAATGTCATATCCGAAAGGACATAACGGTTCTAACCTCGTGGAATCCTATTAATGACCAACTCCCCCACGCTCGTTTTAAGAAAAACTTTTACAATATCTCCATTATCACGGCTGCATATGATCGTACATGCACAGATGATATGTATATAAATTCTATATCCAGCTTAACTTACAAGCAGCATTTGCCACAAAAAATGATTTAATCGTGATCGCGAAAACTGGATTGCGCACAGGTCGCAAAAGTATTCCTTTATTCCTTTATTTATCCTGACTGGCAAATAAGGCATTAGGGCCAAGGGTGGCGATGGAAAGCGTCTTTATCGCTGAGCAGCACAATCTTATTGCTCACCAATATACGCATTGAGCCTTACATGAGAAATCTAATAATACAAGAAGGTCGCCAGAAAATCAATATTCCAACCAAATCGGCTATATTGTGGTCAATCACTGATGGAATAATTCTGTCAAGACAAGAACATAACGAAAAAATCGCATACTGCAAAACTGAAATTGGCAATTTCCAAGGATCAGATCATTTCATAGTCATGATCGGAATGAAAGTGACAATTTAATAAGGCAATATGTATAAATAATATATAAAATCGACTATATCCACTCTGAAACACAGGAAGATGGCAAGCTGGATCTCGCATGAAATATCCTAGATATGCAATCGTGCCATCACAGCAGCAAACAAGGGATAAAAATCGGGAATACTACGGTGTCCCAGAAAGGTTAATCAGATATATCAAAACGTTTTACAGACCCTATATAGACCCTATATTGATAGTAACGGTAAAAAATGGTCTTCAAATCAAAATAAAGATGAAACTCATATATACTTGACGAGACTGGTAAGATCACTGTAATTTACCAACGGTCGAAGAAATGCCAGACTTTATAAATATTTCGGATCCACTAAAGCGAAAAGATGAAATTTGCGGGAATACAGCCAAAGATGCTTTCTTTTATCTGGAGAGACCCTCTTGGAACAGTTACGAAATCAACAACCTCAAAATTCGCATTTATTTTACTGTATTACTTAAAATACTAACAAATTGCTACAAAACTTTATAAGGCATTGAATTTAAATAAGAGTTAAAGAAATCAGGACGCATCGCTTCATATCCACCTTCGCTGGAATACCATCTGTATTGAAAACCTTGCATAAATCACGCCATCTGCGTTAGTTTGGTCATCTTCTTCGTCGTCTATCACAAGAATTGACACATCGCACTACTTGTCAAACCCTGTGATGCATGCAAAACGATGAAAACCAATCAAGTCTTGAGTCGAGATGTTCAGGGAAAATTTTGAATGCACAGGCAATTCAATAATGTGTGAACTTAGACTGTGGAAAAAAAGCGCCATTTGCAGTGAATTAAACCAGCAGACTACCAGAACTACTAGTAGATGAAGAAGGCTGAGAAGTATGGGAAAAATGCAAAAAAGAGAACACTTTAAATGATAGTAATTGCAACCTTTTGGCATAAAAGTTGTACAGATAAAGATTTAGGCAAGTCTGAACTATATTTAATCCATAATACACACCAGTAAAGCCCGATAGCACCAAACAGATAAAAAGAAACTTCCCATGTCAAATGTGGACAAATCTAAAATAAATCATAATCTTTAATCATAACTATTGTGAAATTAATTTTTTATTGATTAAAAAAAGCAGTTCAAAAATAAGAAATCAAAAATAATGAAGAGGTGGGAGTAAATATATCTTCCAAAATGGAGACACAATAGTTGACTCAATAGTTCTTGCTGCTATTTTGATGTAGAGTTCCCTATTTCCAGCGGAAGGAAACCTCTTTTAAAAATCAAGTTGGTGGCGGCGACTTCACTTCTATCAAATGACTTCCTAGCTTCCTAGCAAATGTCAAATCCAACAAGTTATCAGATCGATGCGAAATGGTTAACGCCTTTAGAAAATAAAAGAAAAAAATGATAAAAAAATATTTAAAAAATATTCTTTTCACAATAAATAGCCTAGAAAATCATATTTCATTCCATATTTTTACGGATCTAGCTTTTTAGTGACAAAAACTTTACGATGGCAGCGAAAGTTTGACCAATTGAACCTGAAGCAGCTAAATATGAGAAAATGGTTGATCGGTATTCTACACTGACTCGTTGTGCAAAAATATGGTAGATTGTTGGAAGCCCTGAAAAATTTTACGAAGGATATTCCAAAAATTATCACATAATATGTAACAAAATACCTAGAAACATCGGATGAACATTTATTCTTCTTTTAACAACTCTCATCAATAGTGATTAGGCTGGCTCCGCTGCTACAAGGGTAAGGGTAAGGCTACAAGTTATTCGGTCCGACGCCACCGCTGAAAATAATAGAAGCAATTCCATTTTCCATCGCCTATATCCATACATTGCTGGCCCATATATACATTCAAAATTTTTCCTAACTGTGCCAGTCCAGGTCTTGATTGGACCACCTCGCTTTGATGCCAACCGTTACAAGGTTTCGCAATCAATGAAATAGGTGTTAACTTCTATGGTGAACGAGAAAGTACGTGCCCTAACCAGCGAAAGTGAATACAATCGATATGCGAACACGACTGTAATTACGATTATGATTATATTGTAAGATATATCTGAGTGGTCAATAGCAGATAATTTCTTAATATCCTCCAGTCTCAATGGTCATATCTCGCAGCCATATAGCGATCCAGTGAAGTGCGACTACACATCGAAATGAGTCCAATAAAACTTTCATCAACAGTAATTGCCATTATCGCGATAATAATTATCCTTCATCCATCGCTTCACCATTTGCGATTAGAGTGGATCCAAGATATTTAAAATCTGGCGCTTCCTCAACCACCAAAGAATTAATAAAAATAGGTATTTTAATAGGTATTTAAATAGGTATTTTCAGCTTCTTGTAAATAAGACGAGATTTTCGTTCCATTTAATTAATGTTTAATAAAGGGTCTCTGACTTCCTCTGACTATAGTTGCCGATTTTGTTTAGCATTCTTTCATAATATAAGCAAAAAGGGCTACATCGATGTATTTATTTATGTATTTATCTGTGATATTGTGCTCTTGACTGATTTGTATACCTCTTGATTACTGACAAGCGATTATCCAGTCTATCGCATAGTTGAATATTGCAAGGGCAAGCTTTGGCGGATACCAATTCTTTCAAAAATGTCTGTTCCCCAAACACATAGACCAATGTACGATAAAAACTTTATGACGCGAATGATCTTCTTTGGAACATCGTCACATTCCATCACCCTCCAAAGCACTGCTCTATCAATTGAATTGAAAGCAACTGCAAAGTCGATGAAACAAGTAACGGTGGGTTACAGATTTTTAAAGCGATGTTCCAACAACCTTAAGGTAAACATTTGGTCAGCAAAACAGCATCTCAGTCTGAATCTAACTTGGTTAGGGTGAATCCTGCTCTCTGGTACTGCCAAAAATCTACTGAGTAGAAGGAAAGTAAAAATTTTCGCTTTTCATTGAGACGTCTATGTGGCTAAGGTGATTTCTCGGTGATTGTCATGGTATATTCAGCCACCTTTCTTATTAATTGGAAGAATGGCTTTTCTCCAGTCTTGTATTATTATTTCCTTTTGCCATACGAGAGAATGTTGAACGTAAGTTATGAAAGATGATGGACAACATTTGAAGAGTTCGTCTCGAAGACCATATTTTTCGGGAGTTTATTAACCTTAAGCTTATGGATGACAGAGATGTTTCCAGTTTTGCTGGCGATTCGCAGTTACAAACGTATGGTTCGAAGAGAGATTCAACTGCCCAAGAGATGACGTATCGTGGCTAAGCTTACCCTCAAAAAAATTCCTTTAACTTATGGGACGAACCTTAATAGCCTTAACAGGCAAACTATTCGACGAAATGAAAAAGACATTCTTCACTGGTGCATCGGACCTCGATGCCATATTTGCCAATTAATGAGTTTATTGTGACGGCATATCGTGATATATGCGTGTATTCCAATCTCCTCCGATTACAACCATGTCACATCTCGCTAGAGATGTTGAAATTCCGCATAGAACTTATTGCGACCAACGCTTAAAGTTGAAGCATATACGCTGATGATCAAAATATTGTAGAACTTTCCTTTGAAGCGAGCATATGCCATGCGGTCGTTTACTGGCTTCCACTCATTCATAGCGAATCAAGCTAATGGCAATCGCTATGCAATTTCACACCTAAAAACCACAACGATGTGGCTGGTAATCAGATTCGAAATGCGGAAGACGGACACAAACAGGCAACATTCATATGATATTTAGAGAGTGTGGACAGCGATCGCTTGACTTGCAACGTCCATGAGAGTTCTGATGTTCCACGTTGCTACGGCTAACATCTCGTTGCGCATGCCAGAACTTCCCCTTAACATGTTTCGAACAATTATCGTTGCAGATCATAAGCCTTTCTTAAGCCTTGAGGTTTGACTATGGCTGGATTACTTGTCGCGTGTACCGCCGGACAGTATCATGGGCGTCAGACGCCGTGTCAAGAAGAACCTTTCCACCATAGAACTTGGGGGAAATAATTGCAGGTGGATCCCCAGCAACCACCTGGATTTTTGTTATCATGACAGGATGTCAAAGCCAAAGAAAAAAAATTAAGAAGGATGAAAAATAAACTAGAAAGTATAAAAAAAGGAACACTATAAAAAAATGAAACATAAAAATTTACAAGCAGAAAAATAATTTGCGATTTAATAAATATAATGTGTGTACAACCAATTAAAAACATCAAAATCTTTACCTAAACCTTCGCCGAGGCCGAGCACAATACGCGCAAATATAAGAAAATGATATGATGAAGCGATAATAGGAACTATTAAAGTACTAAGCGACCATAAAAATACAACTGAAAGCAATAAATGTCGACCACCGATCTGGGACCCCGCACAACTGCCGATTATCTAAAGAAAAAGGATTATTAGATCAAATAATGGTCCAAAAAGAAAACGAACCTGCGAGCTAATATATCCAGCCGGAAAGGCGCTAAGGATCCATCCTTGTTCAATCAATGAATAAGAATATTCAGATGACAGACCACTGATAGCGATTGGCATTATAACTCGATCTGCACTATTTATAAAAGCAGCAAACAAACAAAGTAAAACTACTTTATCAGCAGCAGATTCGAAAAAGAACCATCTAAAAACAATTTAAAAATCAAAATTTAGATTTGTAGCTGAAGAGAGTATTTTTAACCTTTCGAAGCAGTTTTGATCTCCTTTTATTCTTATTAAATGCCATGCTGCGATATCGCCAAAGAAACAATTAACTACTATTAAAGTACTAAAGTAAAAATCAAATACCTCTTGCTGGATATTTCGATGGTGTGTAACAAATTAATTTGATTTGAATACATCTTAAGAAATCACTTTAAATTGATTCAAATTAGATAAATTTGAAGGAAACTCCAACAATGAAGAACAGTAAAAATCATATCAAACCACTGATGCACAAACCTGAAAATTAAATAAATTTGATCGTGAAATACAAAAAAAAAAACGATTGCAAACACATTACATTCAATTTTACTATCTATTTTCCATTGATATCTGTTTTCAAGAATTAATAAAAAGTAAATTCCAGTTGAATTATCACTTTAAAAAACCTTAAAAATCATTCATACAATATGAATTTATTGCAAAATTAATTTAAAAAAATAGAATTTCTAAAAAATGATTGTCACAAGTAATACACAACCTCTTAATTATAATCCACATGGAAAACTAGCTATTTTTTAAATTTAAATCTGATTTAGATTGGAAGATATTTTCGAAAAACAGTCACTTTATTTCTTTTTCAGGAAGGTTCTATAAAAATGAACAAAATAATAACATCAAAGGCACAGATATATTAATAAAGCATGCATAAATGTGATAAGATTTTCTGCATGCCTTAGTCCACAACAATCGTTTCTGATTCAACCTACAATATAGTAATTTGACTTTTTTCTGGATGAAGAAAACCAGTCTACTTTTATATTCAAATTTAGAAATTTAAGCCAAATCTGAATAATACTGAGCAACAGATAAAATTGAATCTGTTCACAAGAACATTTAATAAGATAGCAGCCAAGACACTCTTAAAAATAAGATATAAACCAATATATTAATAAAATAGAGAAAACAATTGCACATCTTAGTACACATTTTATGTTTAAAATAATTCCTAAATAATAAAATCAACAAAATAATCAAAATAATAATTAAATACTTATCTGTCCAAAATAGAATGCTACCAACAAAAACATTTTTCACTTCATAAAATGTGTACTATGTTGAATTAAACTATATTAAAATAATAAAAATATGGAAAAGTTGCATTGCATTGCATTGCATATATAATAAAAAAATAAGTCTTGATAATTCGACAAATAAAACAATAATTACAAGCTACAGCCAAAAAACCATTCTGTTTTAGCAATGAAAAAAATTATATGGTTTAAATTATCATTGATTATGTTTCATGAAAATTCCTGAAAATTTAAGCAGTAAAGTCATCTGTTTTCCAAATACAATCTAACGAATCCTTTCTAATAAATGATAGTTGCTGAACCGTATATTTGAAGCAGTAAAAAATGGCACATAAAAAGCACGTAAAAATGAATGCGAATATGCCGAAAGCAGAAACCGTTTTTTCACTATAGATTTCCACATATCATTCTAGAAATAATAGATAAAATACTACAATCAATTTTAAAAAAATGCTAAAAAATAAATATTCATGGTACAAAATAAATAAGATTCGCAAATTATTTTAAAGAAATTTTCTGGAATAAAAACACTGGGAAACAAACTCTGTGGAGGATTAATAAATACCCACTTATATTAAACTTTTATATTTTCGATGGGTAATCAGATATGATTATTCAACTAACCTGTTTTGCAAAATTTGGTTCCAGTGGCGTTATATCTGGTGTCTCTAAGTCAACCATAAAATCGCACATGTTAACGGGAATATATCTAGTATGAAAATTTTCAAAAATTTTTCAAAAGTTTTGATAAATTCTTATATTTATAAATCGAATTACTTCCTAATTTCATAGTACGAAAACAAAAATTTACCGGGAAGGTTCTTCAATATTTTTATCATTCATTTCTGATGGAATAATTCTTGTCGCATACGGCAGATTTTCTTTGGCGAATGGCTTAGGTAATATTCCAGAAAATTCACTCTTTATGAAATTCAATTCCACTTTCCATCTTCGATTTCGCCGATCTATTATTTGTAAAGGTATAAAAAAGGATGAAGGGAACCGATACCATTCCTTCCCGATGCATATATGAACCAAAGAACTATTCTGAAATTATTTTCTGAAAAATTCGAACGATCCACTCTTCGATAAAATTCGATATAAATATATAACAATAAAAATTTTAAAAATTAAAGAATTTGTCACAATTTGTCACAAAAGAATACCACAACCCGAATTGAAATGTGTATTAAAATATATAAACAAGCGAATTACCGACTGAGAAGATATACGGGATTTTTCAATATAGACTGGATCCGTAAAACGTTCATTAAGTGCTTTAAATATTTGAACTGGAGCTGAGAAATTTCGATGAAGAGCTACTGATCGAGATAAAGAAAGAATAATAAATATAGTTAAGCAAAGGCCAACGCATATATTCCAGAATTTTCGTGTATTACCACCAACCAAAAATGAACCTACCCTGAAAGGATGGAAGCCATATTTATCAGTTAAAAATTCATATTGAATATTATAAAAAATTCGCTCTTCATGTTTAAAAACTAAAAAAAAAATTAATCAAAAACCTTATAATAACCTCGGAATGGCATCAAGAGAAATAGCTGCCAAAAGAGCAATAAGAGGATATATTGGGAAAAGGAAACGCTCTTCTTTATGCGGCTGTGAAAAGAAAATTAGCATCCACAAAGCAACTGAGAGAGATATAAAAAGCACAGGAAGAAAACGTTGCCAATAGCTAAACGATAACCCTAAAAAAATTTTTTTAAACTGGGAAATTAGAAATTCACGATAAAATTTTCGACAAAGTCCCTCTTACATATCCAATTTTTCTAACATTTTTTTTTAATACTAATTCTTTCCTAAAAGAATCCATTTTTTGATTTTTTTCTCAACAAAAATAGAGATTAAAAGTTTTATTCAAAAAAATGCAGAATATGGGGAATTTTTACTTATTGGTACACGCTGAGATAGCTGACGAGATGAACGAGTCCGAACAAATGCAAAACAGGAAAAAGGAACAGCAAACGGCGCAAGAAATATAACAAGATTCCAATTCAATACTAGATTTTTTAAATAGTACTTGATATCCTCGATGCCATATAAATTTGGACCATGTGAGGAGAATATATTATATAAAACTATGTTGAGAGGAGCCTTCAAAAAATTGCGATAAAAATATTTACCGTAATAATGCATTTTAAAATAAACCACAAAATTTTTTAAAAAAATTTTTCTAGCTTTTTTTTAAATCAAATTTTTGTTTAAACTTCCTTATAATATAATAAGAAAATTATTAAAAAGAAATTGTATAATAACAATCAATTATTATTTATCAAATGCGAAAAAAAAAGGAATAAGTTACCAAGACTGAGGGATAGGATGATTCAGTGGGTTGTTGCTCAATTCGGAGCGCTGATGCTAAGGTTCTATTCCTCGCAGGAGTAAATCTTCCCAGTGATGCTGGCGACTCATCCATGCTTCTATCCCTAAGAGACTCCCTGACATATTTGTCCAGTGCAACCAACGGAGTTTAACCAGTAATGGTGAGAACTTCTAAAAAAAAAAAACTTACCAAGACTGCTCTACCATAAAAATAAGAATCAGTCAATATAAGCATTATTGCGATAATTCCACCTGAGAGAATCGAATAATTAACAAAAGTTATGGAAAATTGACGATAACGAATAATTAACATTTCAATAACAATCGGAAAACCCAAAATAGCAGCAAAAGGCCAACCGATTAAAGCACTGACAGCAGTGCAAAAAATTGAAATAAACCTAAAAAAAAATAATTTTATATGAAAAAATAGAAAAATTTTAATAATTTTACATATGAAAAAATAGAAAAAATTTAATAAGTGTTAGAATGAGATCCTATAATGAAAAATTTTTTGAAGATACAAATTTTTACAATACGAAAACAGTTTTTCAAGATACAAATTATACAGCAAAAAAATAACCGATTTTATTTAACCAAAATTACTGAAATGAAAAGTTGTAAATTTCATACTCCCATAGTTTCATTTTAAAAAATATATGAACAATCCACAATCCAAATTAAAAGGATTTTCTAGACCTTAAGAGCTTAAAATTTAAAAAACGATAAGCTGTAAGGTATATTTTGAAATCAAAAAGATTAAAAGATTTCAAGTAAGGGTAAAACCTAAGAAATTTGGTTTTCTATAAAAACTTTATGAAGTATTTTTGTCTCGGTACATTTGAATTTTCCTATAGATAAAAAATTACCCTTACATAACAAAACAAAATGTAGTGGAATATATGAAGCGAAATTTTGATAAATTTAAAATATAATTTAAATCATATCCAGCAAAAATAAGTTTTTTTAAGTGGCTAATTTTTTCGCCAAATAAATTCTCAAATGAATTTTCATGCAAAATTCTTCCCCATTTCTTTCATACTTTTTCATAATCAGCAATAAAAATTTTTACAGTTTTTTGAAATGATATTTCTTTCTACTCACCAGTCATTATTGATATAAGCGGCCATTGCAAAAGTGTTCACAGACATGCTAAATGACGATGGAAGAAAAGCACAACTTAAAATAAGAAATTAATAAAATGGTGAAAATATTCATAAAAAGTAGAGAAGGTCAAGAAGATTCAATTGTGTAAAAGAATTTTAAAAATTAATTCATTACTGCAACGAATAAAAAAATTCAAAATTCACTAATAAAATGAATTTTTTATTGTTAAAAAGCAAAGGATTTATAAGAAAAGCATACTAATTGGTACTAATACCTATTGGTACTATTGGTACTATTAGTACTAATTGTGTTAATAAAAAAATTTTTTCGTTTTACAGCAAACCTTGATATAAACATTCCTGACGAGAATATTGTAAGTATAATATAAATTCGCGCTATACCATTACTGAAGCGATTGCATAAAGCTTTATACAAAACCAATTCAGAACATGCATTGAATAAGCCTAGTATACAACGAATTGTTATAAATACGCCAATTTTATTATATGAAAACAATATTTTCAATAGAAAGCCTGGTATATAATGTAGCAATATATATAAATATGTCCTGCAATAATTATAGTTGAATTATAGTTGAAGATTAATCAATTTCTGATATGCATATTTCTGAATCAAGATAATAAAGAACTATAGTGACAATTCAAATCCACAAAAACAGAGAGAAAAAGCGCCAAAAAAACAAGAATGAAATTTATCTTTTAAATTCTCAACGATAATAAAATGAAAATATATATTTACATAAAATAAACAGAAAAAATTAAGAAAAATGAGTAAATGTTGAATGAACAGAATTGAATTAATAAAAATGATAAAATTTTCAAGTAATTTTCAACAATAAAAACAAATTTAAGGACTTTTAAATTTGCAGAATGATTCATAATAATAGAATAAAAATAATAATAAATAATAAAAATATAATAATAAATAATAAAAATAATAATAGTTTCAACATGAAAAAGATTAGATTAGATGTGGTTGGTAAAAAAAATTTATCTTCAAAATTCACAAAAATTTACCTTATTGCATACAATGGAGAGTATTCCCAAGTTTGGAATCCACTTCCATATAAAAATAAATGAAGCGGCTCCCAGTAATTATATGTCTCATCGCAATCACTTATTGTGCTCCACATGGCAGCTGAGATTCGAAGAGAAAATAAAACCTAGAAAAAAGACTGAACATATAAAAAGTGATTTTAAACTTATTCTCATTTGCCACAACTTTAATAAAGCAAAAAAAATGATGGCAAATTAGTTGGGTTGGCGAGATTCAAAGAATTTTTTAATATCTACTACAAAATTATCTCTAAAGATGAGAAAACCGACCCGTTCAAAATGATTCATAAAAAAATTCAAAATTCAACAACAACCTTGAAAACTGAACCAATTGTCGGTTGCCATTCTAAATCCATCTCAGCACTGGGAACATATAATTTCGATTTCAAGCCAAACAATGACTCAGTATAGATTTTTGGACCAAACAAGGGTGATATTGGACCTCTTGGTACATCTTCTCGATCCAATAGCCGCGAATCGCGATTCGATTTTCGTTTCAGAAACGATAAATTCCTTCTCGTCATTTTTCCATCTTTTTTTTATATATCTACCTGAACAAAGATCTTTCTTGCCGCTTAACTATTCATTCTTTCACATAAAAATGGAATTTTTGTTCTAAAAAATAAAGCATTTAATTTTTCGGCATAGTACTAGGTAATAAAAGTAATATACAAATGATAGTGCGATAGCGCTAAAATACTCCAACTTACCAATACTACCAAATCTAAATATTTAGGCATTTAAATATTTTACAAATTTTAATTGTAGTACAACAATGCAATCAACAAGAACAAAATACCTGATTCAAAAATGTTGATAATTTAAGTATAAATAAACTTAGTACAAATATAAATAAATATAAATAGGTAATAAACTTGTTAAAATATGTCGATGAAATAAGGCTTCATAAAATAAAATACAATTTGAAATTTTCGTAATTTGGACTTATATTTTAGAAAAAATTAATCCAAGTGAATCTGAAGTCTGCTTCACAACAAAAATTGATTGGTATGCTGGTGGAACTGCGGACCTGGAGTTAAATCTCTGAGTGATCCTCAAGCGAAAAAAACTAACTCTAACAATAGGTGGGCCAGCAAAATTACAAATAATGATATAAGAATAATAATAATGATATTAGAAGAATAAAGAATACGAGAACATAATTCAAATTAAATTAAAATTCAAAATTCAAAAATCAATGACTATAAAATGATTAGAAAACAAATTGTGCGAATTTCAATTTTTAACATAATAAAACGCCTTTATGCAATTTAAATTATTAAAAACATACATAAAAAACTAAGTTAAATTAGCTTTTGCGATCATTTTTATTCATTTCCTTTTTAATCCCGTTATTCTTCCTATGTATGTTTATCGATCGTCGAATTGGTCGCACAGCAGATTCTCCATCTTCTTTTTTTAAAAGTTTCTTTTCAGTGATGTCACAGTCTGACGAGCCTCGGATTATCTTCACCGGATATTCAATGGCCAGTTCCTTCAAAGGACCTTGACTGGACTGAACGTCACTGTGATCCCAAATCTTATGCTAAATGACATATATATATATATACAAATAAAAATACATATATATACATATATACATATATATTCAGAAAATGAATCGGTAAGATGGTGCTATATTTCAAAAAATAAATTATTAAATTATACAGCCAGCTTGAAATAGCATTAAATCCTAATCTTCATAATTTAAGAATATTTCTTATTTTAAGAAATAAATAAGAAAAAGTAGATTAATGTACCTGCAACTTTTTATTTTGCTTCTGCTCAATTCCACCTAATAGCTCTTTTTGTTTTTCAAGCTCCTGGTTTATTGCTCCACTTTTTGATGATATGCGATGCAACATGCCTGTCATATCTTGAACACATTTGATAAGATCCTTCAATTCGGGTAAAATCTGCTTATTTTGTCGGACAAAATCCTAAATATTTGGATACAAGGTGATCATGAATAAATAAAATAGTTAAGAAAAAAATAAAGGAGAAAAATAATTCTAAAATTTCAAAGAAATTTTTTGATTAGAATGAAGAAAAAGCTAAAGATTTGAAGTATTAAAAAAATTTCAAAAACATAATGTAAACATAATGTAATTAATATTTTCAAATTAAATATTTAAATTAAATCCAAAATTCACTTTAATGATTTTCAGATCGTTATCCACACTTGTAAATACTTTTTTCCAATGAGGAAAAATAATGGTCTGCAATCGGATCAGTTTTGCCGCATCTATTAAACTACAAGATAAAACGATTATTATAGCAAAATATTATATTCTTTAATTCACTGTACTATATTTTGCAAAATCATAATAATTTATTCTATTACTGAATCAATTTATATTGAATTCAAAAAGTCGAAAAAGTGTGTTACTAAATACCAGATATAATAATGTTATTTAAAGAAAATATAATTCTAACTTTGCTCGTGAACCATAATAATTCAGCAAAGGTGCAATATTATTATTGATTAAGAGATAAAAAACAAATGGTCCATAATGACGAGTGGAATGCAATATAGAAAATTTCTTCGACTGAACTACACGATCGAAAATCGTTCGACATAACTGTATCAGAATTCAATATATGAAAATCTTTTAAGAATAATGAACGATTTTTCTTTATCAGCATTTGGAAATTTTTTAATTCTAAAAAAAATTCTACTGGAAAAGTCTAAAAAAATTCTACTTTATAATCTAAAAAGAACTGCAATTCCTATATGAAATCATGATATTCTGAAGAATTCGATACAAAAATTCGTAAAAAACAAAAATACCTTCACAAATTCCGGATTATCGGGTTCAAAAAAATAACAAGCCCAATCTAGCACATATTCATGATTATTTTTGTCAAGAGCTTCCTGCAAAATAGAAATCTACTAGAAATTTGTAATTTGTAAAATATAATAATCTCAATATGACAAAGCGCATGCTTGTCTAATTGATAAATCAAAATCCACAATAAAATAAATTTAGAAAAGACCTGAAGCCAAGGATCTTTGAAAAGAGGTGGTTCATTGACTGGACGAGAAGGTTTTTCAAAAAAAATTCTATTCATTCGATCATGTTCTTCTGGATTAGCAGTCCTTAAAGTTCCATCAGTTTCACGTACAACTATTGTCCGATCCTTGAAATACATTTATTTAAACATATCTATTTCATTTGTTGGATTATAAATAAAAAATAAGTGAAAATTAAAACCAAACAATCCAGGGAACAAAAATTAATTTTTAAAAATTTTTGTAAAATCGGACATAGCTATAATTACTAACTACATCAGTAACATCAAACGTTGTGTCGACAAAAATGAATTTGGATTCATCAAATCCGTTGATCTCGGGATCAACTGCGATGATATCGGGTTCCTCAGTACGAGGTTCTTTAATCGGAAAAAACTGTAGATAATGCAACCCTTTCAACTTCATTCGTTCAAGAGACTAAATAAACGGTTTCATGAAACTTCGTTAAATCTGAATTTAAAGCATAAACCTGAAATTTTTTTGAAAAGTAAAGAATGAGAATTTATACGATTTTTTATGCAATATTCCTTGAAGAAAATCGGAAATGTAACAAAAAAATAAAGCAAATCCGAATTTTATTGAGATAAATATACCTGCTCGTACATCTCTTGTGTCATAAGCGCATAATGTGAACGTTCCGGTAGATTTATTATGCGATAAGAAAAAATCTTGCCGTGAATATCTGCACCAGTTATTTCCTTCAGTAATTTCTGCACTTCATCCATAGTAAATAATCGCTCAACATCAATCACTTCATCTTCACTTGATCCATCAATGTTGATTTTAATCTTTCTTAAAGCAAAAAATGAAAAATAAAAGACTTCATTCGTATAATCGATAAATAATAAAATTACAGAGTAACCATAATATGTTCAAATATTGAAATGAAAATAAATTTTAAAAACGAATCAAACTGAAGTATTGATTATTAACAGCCTTAAATTAAAAATGATTGAGTGATGATATCATCTTGCTCTTATGCCAGTAATTTTTGTTATACTGATCTGTTATTGATCGATTGGGGTTCTTCTCCCTTTTTAACTTATAAATTTACAATATATCGGTTATCAATATTTGTGCTGTTTATGTTGCATACTCTTACGCCAAATGCGAATGATCTGGATAAAGGAGGATTTTGTAACTCGCTAGCAGCATCTGTCCCAAAAAATGACCGAATCGTGATCACAAGAACTAGAATATGCGCGCAGGTCGTGAAAATGTTCCTTTATTTATCTTGATCGGCATATATTGCATTGGGAATGGGTATACCGATGGAGATCTTTGCTGAGAAGCTTTTACTATTCAATATACGCTTTTAGCATTGCAACATTCGAATCAATTTGGTTATATTCTGATTAATCATCGATGGAAAATTCTGTATTAGAAAAGAAGAAATCTAGTTATAAAGAGTAATATTCGAACCAGTTTGAATATATTCTGATCAATCATCGACGAAAAATTTTATATCAGAAAGCCGCACATACCGCAGAATCGAAATTGATAATTATGATATTTCAAGCAGGTTAGATCACTTCCAAGATCCGAATGAAACCGATAAGGAACAAAAAGACAAGTCCCTCCCCCAAAGCCTTTTTGACGAAGTCGGATAAAAATTCGAGGCGATTGCCACATTTCAAGCTGAAATGCCGACATTAAGGTTTAAAAAATACTTCTCTAAAACTTTCAGTGGATACGGTCACAGCTGAATTCTTTCTACCGCTTAGAACTGGCTTAGAACTGGCTTATTATCCGTCGATTATGACCATGCTACCTCTCGGTAGAGGTGTTGTTAATAGTCGAAGCTCCGGAAGAACTTTTTCTTATAACGGTCATCTGCACATAAAATTGGAACATATGCACTGATAAGCGAAATGACCGAAATATTGAGGAACTTTCCTTTGAAATTATGGCGTGGGCCATAAGATCATTTAACATCCACTCAATCAGAGCGGATTGAGCCTTTTCAGACTTTACAAACGCTATACCATTTCGCCGCGAATTGTCCGAGACACCACAGTGATAAAGCCAATATCTTTGCTTGTAATCAGGTTTGATAACTACTTGAGAGCCGACATGAGGAGGATAAACAAGCCACAACCACGCGATATTTAGATATTTAGAAAGGGTGTGGGCAGTGTCCGCTTGGCTAACAACATCCATTAGCATTCTGACGTTCCAAGCAGCTATAACCAGTAACTCGCCTTGCTTACAAAATGTTGGTGGAGAAATTTTCGCCTCCCCTGATTATTATTTATTATTATTATATTATTATTATATTATTATTATCATTATTATATTATTATTATTACGATTCGTAGACAGGCGACGGTGAGAAAAAGAATGCTTTCTTTTAGTTTAAGGATCGAATATTCGACGGCAATAAAATGTAAAAATTCTACATTTACATAAGCATTTCCTTAGAACTATGAAATAAAAAAATAAAAATAAGGATGACTTACGATTGAATCCAAGCTGAAAGATATCGTGAATTTAAATGGATCTGACAAGGATTGTAAACCAATATTTTTGGCATCTGATAGTAAAATGACATCGCTACTCTCCTCAACATTATTTCTCAATGGTACTCTGGTAATGGTACTCTGCAAAAATAATTGGTAAAAAGCCGAAAATTATCTAAAAACTTAGAATAGTATTTTCGAATAACAATAATAAAAGTTATATAGGATGAAATTTTTGAAAAAATCAATCAATCAAACTATAATCAATAATACTTCAAGTACTACAAAAATTGAAAAAGGATGAAAAGAATGAGAAATCTAAAAAACTTCGAAGAAAAAAATTTTTAAGAAATCAAGGAAATCAAATTAAATAAAAAAAAATTTTCATATAATAAAAATAAACAACAAAAAATAAGAAACAAATTTTTTAGCTATTTATTATTCATTATTTTTCCCTTACTCCCTTTTCCCAATAATATTCAACTATGTGACAAATTGGATAACAGATATCGCTTGTAGACAAGAATGTACAATTCAGTCCAGAGCATGACATATCACAGACGTTGAATACTCTGATGTAGTTCTTTTTACTGATAGTTATGAAGAAATGCTAAATGCTAAACAATGTGTCGACAATTGTATCGAAAGTTAGAATCCTGAAAGGTCGAAATTCCAACCAGGATAACGATGGTTAGAAATGTTTTCTTCCTGTCGACACAACCTTTACTGCAATTCATTTATTTATTTATTGAAAACCAGCCAAGCAGGACCCAAACGCCATGTGCTTGTAATAACAACAGTTAAAATAATAAATAATAAGAATTAATTATAAAAATAATTTAAAGATGAAATAAAGAGGAAGTTATAAAATAATATAATATAGAATACAATTCGAAATAACTATAATCGGATGGTAAAAATAGAGAAAATAAAGATACAGATACACACTCCTGCACAATTTGCTCGATCTTATTACACGGCTGCGAGATAATGAGAGTAGGGAATTCTAAGAATTTATCTATCATTGACCACTCATATCTAAGATATATTTTACGGTTCCTAGCTGATAAAATCTCATATGACTGCATTTACCATCGCTCAAACACCACTTCCATTAAGAGTACCACCATAGAACACCGTCTTCGCTGGTTAGGGTAAATTCCTCGCCACCCACCAAAGGAATATTTCGTTACTTGCTAAACTTTGTGACTCAAAAGCGAAATGGACCAATAAAAAGATAGAATGATTAAGTTAGAAAATGTCTTGAACGTATAAGTGCACCAACGACATATGGATGACATATGGAAAAAAGAATGGATTCTATCGAACGTCAGCGATCGAACAGCTCGGAAACCTTTGTAGCTAGCGGAACCAGCCTAACCAGTAATGATGAGAGATATTAGAGGAAGAAGATTTTTATTACACTCACTATTTTTAAACAAGTTACCAATAAATAAATAGTTAAATAATAAATAAACATTTAGTTTAGATGATATAAATCAATAATAAAAATTCAAAATAATTAAACAGATAGGAAATAAATAAAAAGCCTTTCTGCCAACTCACCAAATTTCTCTTATAATTCATCAATATTTCTTTACTTTTCTGGTGCCATTAGTTTTAGAACCTTAAGTGACCTAGCACAACTCACCTGCACATCTGGAAAAAGACCACTTTCCCAACGCCTAATCTACTCCTTCCCCTTCCTTCTAAGCACAGAACCCCTCTTAACGACAAAGTAAATCCACATTGTTTCGCTATGAGCAAGCAGAATGTATGCATAGATCTAAATTTTTCAGCGATAAAATTCTCGCTATATCTCCGCCCATATTTTTATTGCGTTGGCTTTCTGCTATGTTCGCGTATGCATGCATGGCATCTTCAAAACAAGGATTATAATAGGGTTTGTGGTCATACTAGTACCTGCAGTAACTGATGGACTTTTTATTCATTATATAAAAGGAATCGAATCACGCTGGAGGCCCGTCACCACTTCTGTCGGCAGGTGACTTTCTGGTGAGAATATCATTTATAAAAAGAAATATTAGTATGGAATAAGCACTGAAAGATAATTAAGAAAAGCAAACAAATGACGAAAAATTCACATTATCTTTTTGTAAAGTAAAAAATAACAAAATGCATGGGCTGAATTATACAGTGGTGTTGATTTTTTTCTGATGTCCCCTCTATATGGTGCCATTAAAATTCATGGCTCACCATTGCAACATTTGCAAGTTTTAAAAGAAATTTGCCTGCTCTTACGTTATTACCCTATCCGAGTAATTCATCTTATTATTACTCCAGGTCACTTTAGTAATAAATTTTTGACCAAAGGTGGTACATCAAGGTGGAAATATGTATATATTCTCCTTCTTCCTCTGAGCATTCATATTTCTGATTTGTTTGGCTATACTAACTATTAGGACAATACATCTTCGTCAGCGAATTACTTGGAGATGCATATGGCAACAATAGATATTTTTAATAGGTCTATTTTCCTTTAGAAGTGGAAATCGAACCCATATTCGAAGTAAAATGCAATGCGACTATCCTATCCTATCCTCAGAATTTGACTTCGAATATTTGTATAAATAATTGAGTTTTCATCTGATGGTACTTCTCGGTATTATTGGCTCTCAATTTCAATTTCTTTTTTTGTATTTTCTAGTTCGATATTAATTAATTAATTTATTTATTTATTTAATAAGAATTCACCAAATCGAAAAGTTTATAATCATTCAAATCACTTCTGATTTTTTGAATATTTGAATTTGGATATTTTACTTGATTTTCAAAAAATTTGAATCTACTTGGCTTAAAGGCTAATACTACTTTTTAGTCGAGGAGACAATTAACGTCAATTCATCAATTCCACAGTTTTTTATATCTTTTTATGGATCATTTAATGAAAATATTTGGAAGTTTAGGTAAAATCTCCGATGTTTGAAAAAATCTCATTATATTACTACTATTTTTTTCTGAAATTTTTCTAATAATTTTCGATAAATTTATTTTTTCTTCTTTGAATTTATATCAAATTTTCGCAAAAAAATTGAACTGATTGCCTAAAATTAAAAATTAAATTTAAAAACTGTTTTCTAATTAGCTAAAATTATAATTTTCGGAAAATATTCCAGCAATATTAGGAGTAAAGAAAAGGCCGCTTTAAAAATTGCCGGTTCTTTTAAGAAATATTTTTAAAAAATCTAATATAAATGGAATTAAGAAAAATAAAATATTTGGAACTATGGTAAAAGAAACTTAAATTTTTCGTGATGAAGAAATTACCTTAAAATTGCTAATACTATAGGTAACTAATATTATAGGTTGAACTTTATTACGTAGCTAAAACTTTTCAATGCAAAAAAAACGAGTCTTTTTGTACTGATAAAATGCTTCTTTTTTATAAATTTATTGCAGGTTGAGGAAGTGCCTAATTTTAAATACCTTGAGTCCACTCTTATATCTAATAGCCAGGAAAAAGACGATATAACCCTGCAGCAAGAAATGCGCCCTTCCCGCTGACCAAATCTTTATGGAACCGTTGTAAAATCACCATAAAAACGAAAGTCCCCACTTATTTAGTCGCGAATCGGTCAATCTTGCTATATGGTTGCGAGACATGGCCAATGAGATTGGAGGATATTAAGAATCACTCACTTTCTCACTTTCTAAGAAAAATTTTATGGGCTCGTCGAATGTATAAAATCTCATATGATCGCATCCGTATTCAAATACTATTTGCATGTGCCATCACAGAGCGTCGCCTTCGCTGGTTAGGATATATTCTTCGTCGCCCACGAAAAGAGTTGATACATATTTCGTTACTTGCTAAACCTTGTGTTGGGTGGCGTCTAAAGCGAGATGGACC